ACACAATCAGAAAAGCTTCACCCACCTTCTCTTTATGTTCTGCTTCCTTCTGAGCTCGTAATTCTGAACTCAAGTCACGCACGTTAAGCACAAACTTCACGCACATTAAGCACAATACTCAGGGACATTAAGTACAAAACTCACGCATATTAACATTACACACTCACGCACATTAAGTAAAAATCTCAGACACATTAAGCACGTGACTCACGCACATTAATCTACCGCACGGGAAGCCACAAATGCACCTGATCCCTTCCCTATATATATATATATATATATATATATATATATATATATATATATATATATATATATATATATATATATATATGCACACACAAAAATCTAATTTCTTTAGAAAAAATAAAAAACTTTTCTTTAGCACAGTGATAGTCAAAGAAGAAAAAGAAAATAGTTAAATAAGTTGAATAATGCAATTATAATTTTAATTTTAAGAATATAAAAAAAAAAAAAAAAACTTCAACGACATACCTCATATCCACCCAAAAAAAAAAAAAAAAAAAAATCTAATTGTAGATAACTCATCATGTTATTGTTATTTGACTCAATTTTACTGTTATAAAAGTATTACGTAGTACTCTGTATAATTTATAATTGAACTACACCTTGAAATATGCCTCAGGCCTGAAATATTCTTTAAAAAAATTATCAGTGATGTCATCAGACTATAAAATATTTCCCTATTTATATTCCATTAATTCAAAACTAGCTAACAAATATGAAGAGTTTGCAACACTTAATTACGTGTAAGAAAAATATACAATCTCGAAATTACTGCTCATATCCCAATTTTCTTTCATTGCTATTCTACATTGCAATAACTCACCTACTACTACAAACGTGGCTCCCTGTGGACAAATGCATTTCGAAAGGGTCTCCAAACATGCCCTAAAAGTCTAAGCCTACAACAATCTCGATGTTGGACGTGCAAACTGGAAAGCAAGTAATTAAACAGTGCGCCTAAAGGTGTGGTCTAATGATTTAAAAACTGTAATTAAAAATTATTTTCAACGATAGAGTGACACTTCAAATTTTGTCATAGATAATATGCAGATGAAATTTTCAAAATTGGACTAAAATTAAGTTTTACCGAAACTCTTTGTGTTTAAAAGTATATAATTTAGAGTTTGATTTGGTCCAAAAATTAATCCAGCAAAATCAAAATACTAGGATTATCCCAAAAAAAAAAAAACAAAATATAATTAAACATTGTAGCCACATCTCACAAAGGTTGTCATTTCTTGTGCTTAATAGTATAGTAGGCCATTCTTGCTGACTTTTTTTATGGCTAACTATTAATGGCTTGAGCCATTGAACATTTATAGCTAGCATATAGGTAGCCAATTCAAGGCTTTTTATTTTTTTAAATCAAAGAGCAACGAAAAATGGGTCACCATTTCTTGGCTCTATTGGCCAAGGTCTTGTTTGTTACATTACTTTGTTTTAAATAAAAGATAGGAAAATATATACTATTTTTCCCATTTGTAGATAATGGATGCCAGAGAAACAAATTTTGTTAATATTTTTGGTTGGTTTAGTGAGTAGTACTATGGTAGCTTACTTGTTAAAGGTGCAAAGATACATATTGATTCTTCTTAGTGTGATGATATAATCACATTGAATAAATTGTAGTGTAGGTAATGTCAAACTATTGTAGTTAAGAGAATCACATATAAGAATTTGATTTGTTGGTTAAAGTAAATTTAAAAACAGGTGAACAAAACTAGAAAGAAGACAAGGGCTAAGAAAGTCACAAGAAGCCTTCTATTTTGAGTTTATCGCACTTTTGGTCTAACGACTATAGTGGCATTATGAGGATTAATCCACGACTTTCAAACCTTGCAATCTCGGTCCACGATTATTATTATTATTATTATTATTATTATTTTTTCAAAATGGTCATTCCGACCCATTTTCCGTCAATCCCATGACCTCCCATATGGGAGAGTCACTACATGTCATCTTAGCACAAGTTGCTTGGCAGCAAATTCCACTTTTAGTTATTGACTATTGTGATATTGTTACATTTGATCATATTCTTTTAAATTTTTTCTTCTCCATACATCATTGACTTTTATTTGTTTTTCACATATAATCAGTCTTCCATTTAAAATTTTGTTATTTAACTTTTAATTAAAAAAAAAAAAAGTGTCAACATGTAATGTAACCATTCAAGCTTCATGCCCAACATGTAATTTATATTCCTCTCTCATTAATTCTTTTACTTAGAAGATGAAATTGCATGTTAACACTCGTTATTAAATGGTGGAATGATAGAAATTTAAACGGAGGATTACTTGTGACAGATAAATGAAAGTCAATAATTTAATAAGGCAAAATTAAAAGAGCATGATTAAATGTGACAATGTCACAATAGTCTGATGATGAGCTAGTAAAATTAAAATTTGATATTTTAAAAGCTAATGCAACTAATTTTAATTTGAATAATAAAACTCAATCAACATGACTTGTGTTGTAATAATATGACTAAGTCATCACCATAATATAGCAAACAGTTCCTAAATTTTTTCTTTAATTTTTTTTAAAATAAATCATTAAAAACTATAATTGAGGAAAAATATGATTATATTTATTTTTGAAAACATATGATTATATTTATGAAAAATGTAATATTTTTAGTGTGTGTGTGTGTTTTTTTCAAATAAGAATAACACCCTTTTAGAAAATTAGGACGAATCTAAACCGTCTATCATGGTTCATTAATAGTTGAGAGCTTTAGTTAAAAATAGTGTCAATTTTATAATTATTATGAATTTTTAAGTTTACAATATTTATAAAACTAACCATCTAATTTTAACCCTTATTTTTTAACAACTTGATCTACCTAAATGGGTGGGAGCATATTCTCTTCTGAACAATCCCCTATATGTGTACAATGTGTGTATAATTTATAAAATAATAATAATAATATGTTAAGTGATGATTATTAGTCAACCTTTAATATTGTTTTAATATATCCATGTTTGATCTATCTGACTTTATGATAAACTTGCAGCACTTTGTTTTGGACAAAAAGATACGCATATACACTATTTAATTTTCCCATTAGCAGAGAATGAAAGTTGTTAAAGGTGCAAATTAAAGATAAATTGGTTGATTACTCCATATTACTTATGGAGTAATTCATTAGTTAATTCAATTTATTTTTTTTCAAATAAAATTAATATATAAAAATCATTAAAAACTTTTATTTGTTGCGAACTAAAGTATATTCTTGTGTGAATCGTTGTATCGTCGTCATCTCAAAAAGTAATAAACAAAATAATATAATTTACCAGTGGTTTTGGGTTTGGTCATGGACGAAATGCAAATTGCAATAACACTATATCCCGTACTAATGTATAGGCTACAATACAGTAACGCAATTAATAATTTAGTTTGGAATATTTGGTGACACACCGTTATTAAATAGAAGAATATACAATTAATAATTGGGTGAGTCTTCTTTGAGCAATGTTGAAAAATGTGTGCTAGGCGCCGATTGATTTATTTATGTTTTTTATTTTTTAAAAAAATATTTCAGTGATATTGAATAAAATGAATAAGTGATAGTGTGTGTGAGCTGAGATTAATTACTGTTTCACAGATTTTTATCTATGAAACGGGTCGAGTCAAGATATAATATAATACTTATATTGAAAAATGTAATAGTAATAAAGAATAAATTGTTTATTACTTATAAGGGAAGTCTAATAGTTATGAAAAAAAAAAAGTAATACTTTTAAATCAAAATATAATAGCTAGAAGTTAAAGTTACTTATAAGAAAAAATGTAATACTAATAAGAGATAAGAGATAAATTGGTTGATTACTCCGAATTACTTATGAGAGAAACAGTAATGTTGGTTGTGTAACCCGGGAGTAGTCAGTCGGTGGTCCAACATAACCGATCGAATGATAAATAAAATGTAAAAAGAATAAATACAGACAAGAATTTTAATTTGAAAATCGAAAGGTAAAAGCTACGTGCATTTTAAGGCGGTGTCAAACCAAAAATTCACTATTTTGTAAGCATTTTTGTAAAGTATGGTGTCTTCTTTGGATAGATGTCGGTTGAGCTCCCCAGTTCTCGTTTCTGGTCCCTCTTTTATAGTAGAAGAGAGAGCAATGTAGATGGTGAGTAGGCTCTCTACAATAATGGGGTATTTAATTGGATTTTATGGTTAATTAATGAGATTTATGGGCAATGAATAGATTGGATGGGTAATTAAATGAATATTTATGGTTAATTAATTGGAGGCTATGGAAGAATAATTAGGTAGGGAGTCAAGACTGATTGGTTACGTCTCGAGTGCTGACTATTGAGTACGAGTCTTATGCTCGACTATTTGTTAGGTAGTATATATTGACTGAGTGCCCATGCTAATAGGTATCCACCAAGTAATATTTATATAAAAATTTAAATTAAGACTTGTTGAAAAAATGTATATATTTTAATATAATACAAGATGTTATTAGGTGCAGTTAATTGGTGAGAAAGAAATGGACCGGCCGAGAATATAATGAAGAGTGACTAATAGTGCATGCATGAGGAGTTTGTAGGTTGGAGAATTGGCCGGCGGCTGAGCTCACTCCACACCCAACTACTCCCTCCACGCGGCGTCTGCCCCACCACCCCCGGCCACCACCGCCGTGGGTCACCCCCCCCCCCCACCCCCCCTCTATTTATTATTTTCCCAAAACGTTACAGGAAATTCCACCCAAATTTCCAAACCCAAAGAGTCTCAAATTTGACTTGGCCTAAACAATTCTTGCTCTCCAAGCTGCCATCTTCTAACCTCTCCCCCACCATATATAAACACCTCCTCCTTGTACCTCCTCAACTAAAACCTCTCCATCTCATCTTCCTCCTCGTCCTCTGCAACCTAGCTTCTCCTTCAATTCTGACAATAAACATTCTCAAAAACAACAAACATCCTTAATTACCTGTCCTGTCTGTCTAGATCGAACAGAATTATGGCTCGTTCTTCATCATGTGTTTTCTTGATCGCCGTTTTCCTGGTGTTTTCTTCCTTGATTTCCTCCATCGAGAGCAGAAAGATGGTTGTGGCGGATTTGCATGAAGAACCCAAGAAAGTTCCGGCCATGGCGGACGGCGGCGACAGACTGTTCAAGAATGCGCTTCCCAAAGGCACCGTGCCGGCGTCCTCCCCTAGCAAGAAAGGCCACGCCGACACCGTCGACGAAAAGCTCGTCGCCCGCCGCCTCGCCGCCCTTGATCATCGGATCCTCCGCTCCGTCCCCTCCCCCGGAATAGGCAATTAATTAGCTACTCCATCTTCATCTTCTTCTTCCTTTTCTTCAACAATTTTGGATTCTTTTCTTCATGGGGGTATAGTATAGTATAGTATACGGTATTATTATATTATTGATTAGGGTATACAGATACTGGTGGAAGTGTATAGCCGGCCGGGGATTATAATTTTAATAGCCTTTTCCATTTTTTTTTTCCTTAAAGTTTATGGGATGGGATGCATACTTTAATAGTTTAATTATTCTTTTGTTATTGGGATTTTCATTTTCAAGAGATAGAATCCTTCAGATGTTTCAAGAATCTGTACGATGAGGTTACGTTGTTGTACTCATCATCATTGAGTTGAAATGAAATGACTTATAGTAGCAATTTTTGTTTCATCTTTCTTGAAATATTCATAGATTTCTTAAATTTCTCTTTCTTAAGCTACCCAATTTTCTATAATAAGGTCAACTACGCTAATGTATGATAGTAATTTTGGCGTATGATCCTGAACCTATAATCGATTGATTATAACGTGTTATGTGTTAAGAGGGGGGTGAGAATGAAAGTCCTCTGTTTAGCATTGAAGGGATGTGAGAGAGGAAATTAAACAGGACAAGTGTATGTGGGACTGTGGTTGTTGCTCGGCCGCCGAACTTTGACTTTCCGACAACGTAACAATATTGCACGCTGGGGTGACCTCAAAATTACGTTAAAAAAACAAACATTTATGTTGTGAGTCGATTGTGGGTGTTGGTGGGTCTGTGTAAAAACATGGAGGCCAGGGATGAGAAACGCGGTTTAGCAAGCCAGGTAAAAGGGCAATTGGAGACTTTTTCTGCAATGGATATATTGTCGGTAGCTTTCGATAAAGCCATGGCCTTTAATCCAACCCTTCATCTCCGAGGGGCCTTTGGACCATCACCTTGCAACATCCAATTTAGATGCTTCAAGAAATCTGCTACCATTTTTGCGGCTTAAGGTCCTGTTTCGTAACATAGTTAATTTATTAGTTAATTTTGACATATTTGACCACTATTATATGCTCAACACGCCCCTCTCACGTGTAGGCTCCAAGTAATGCATAGTCCATAGTCTTTTTTTTTAATCGAGTAACGCAGAAATTCGAATCAATGACCTTTAACATGACTCTGATATCAAATTGAAGCATGTGTTTCATCTCAATTAAGAACCTAAACTGATAATTAAATTACACTGTAGGGTGTTTCCAAAAAAAAAATGTATATTGTAGGGTTCAATTCTTATAGGATAGCTAGCTAGTTACGAGGCAAGGGTAAGTGATTGCGTTCAAGATTAGAGCTCAATTGTTTGTTAAAAAATCTATACTACTAATCAATTTGGCCAGTACTTTACCTTTTAATTTGGCTAACTCGATGTAAACCTAGATTAGTCTGAGGTGCCCTCCTATAATTAGGGTCTATTCAAGATACCTCGTGGTCTGACTAAAAGTAATTAAGCTAGATAGCTATTACTAGATATTATTTTTTATTTTCTCCCATTTTTCAAAACTTGTAATTCTTTTTTTTTATTTTGGCATCTAAGCATGGATCAGGTGTTTAAGATTCGGATACGTTTGAAATTGTCGGATTTTCGTATCTAAAATTGTTTAAGGATACAAACAATACTATAGGGTTTCGTCAAATGATATTATACTCTGTTCCTCCTTGCTGGTAATCTGAGACCTACTGATAAAACCTACGGTCCTATAGGCTAACTAAATCAAAATGTTACTCCATATAATCTTTCATTTCCACTGTCTAAATATACAATTTAAGTGAAATTCACATTGTGATCCTAATCGACAAAATACAACGAAGAAATAAATCAGTATAAGTTTCCCAAAAAATTATTTAACTTGACATTCTATATGACATCATTTAATAATATGTTAGGTCTGGTTTGAATCTTGTGAATTCAACAATACACTATAAGAAAAATTATATTTTCTGTAGGTAAATCACTAAAATCTGTTATAGATATACAAAATTATGTAGATTATTGTTGAAATTGTGTAGATTTGTAGAGGTAGTGGTATTTAATTTAACAACAAATTTCTATTAAGTAAATTATTAAAATATGAAGGTACTTAAAAGTCGTAACTAAATTCGTTGGTATTTTGCTATTTTTCATATTGTGAATATCTGTGGGTAGAATTCTTTGAATGAGATCTAACTAACAATATAATAATTCGATTTTGAATTAATCGGAATTAGAGTGTAGTTCCAAAACAAAACAAAACAAAAAAGACTATATGTAAGCTTTTTTTTTGAAAGTTACTGGTCTAATGGTACCCGGGTTGGACTTCCATTTGGAAGATTATGAGTTCGAGCCTCAGTGGAGGTACAATGTAATAGGACTAGTAACTTTCAAAAAAAAAAAAGACTATATGTAAGCTATTTTGGCAAGATTTACACATTTCTTTTGGTTAGGTTGAAGGGCTTGTAAATGGCAAATTATGCCCTGGACCCGTGTCCACAGTGAATTGTGGACACGGGCCCAAAACGACGTCGTTTTTCAAAAAAAAACGCGTCATTTAGTTAAAAAAAAAAAAAAAAAAAAAATCGCGCGCGTTTTGCCGTTAACGGCGTTATTTTTTTTTTTTTGGATTATGAATGTATAGTTATGCCGTTATGAATGTACAGTTATGCAATTATGAAATTATGAACACAGAGCTCTAACATTATGAACTTACAATTATGAACATATATAGTGATAAAATTATGACCATGGAGCTTTAAAATTGTGAATATAGAGCTTCGAAGATTATGAATGTACAGTTATGGGGTTATGAATCTACAGTTATGGAGTTATAAAACTACAGTTATGAGATTATGAATCTACAATTATGGAATTATGAATGTACAGTTATTGATCGAATTATGAACAAAGAGCTCTAACATTATGAACTTACAATTATGAACATATAGTGATAAAATTATGAACATAGAGCTCTAAAATTGTGAACATAGAGCTTCGAAAATTATGAATGTACAATTATAGAGTTATGAATGTACAGTTATGGAGTTATGAATGTACACTTATAGAGTTATGAATGTACACTTATAGAGTTATGAACGTACAGTTATTAATAATATAGTAATAAAATTATGAATATATACTCCTATAACGAAGCGGTCTGAAATTTAAAAAAAAAAAAAAAAAAAAAAAAGATAACAGTGCCGTTAGGCACTGTTACCCGTGTCCAGCAAGCATGCTGGACACGGGTCCAACGCATAACGATTGCTTGTAAATGGTTTGAAGGATAATGGAATTTGGAAGCCTACCAAACCTGGAAAGTGGAAGAGCATGCATGATTTAGATTTTGGATTGAATTCCATCTTCTTCTTTTTTCTTTCTTTTTTTTTTTAAATGAATAATATAATGTATGTTTTGCACGCAACCATTCTTTTTCGTTTTATAAAAAAATGAAAGCGACAAGAACCATACTTTGATGATTTTAATTAAGTCATTGTTGAAATAAGGTTTCATGCGTTTAATTATTGGCCAAATGGCAATTCTAATTAAACCTATGTGTAGCATAGAAATAGAAAACGACAATTTCAAAAAATTACAAATGCACGCAAATATAAAATATGTACTCCCTCCTTGTTAGTTTGTTTAACAATGTTTGACTAAAGTTATTTAGAATTAAATGTTTCATAATGTAAAATTTAGTATTAAAATATAACATTTATATATTTAGAAATTAAATTAATATAGTACGTACTATTAAATACAAAAAAAAATTATATTAAAAAAATAAAAATAATAATAAATTACTAAAGAAAATAAGCGAAAAAGAAACAGTTAATTTGATCAATGAATAATAAGCAAAACGTATAAAATGTGATAGGAGTATATATTAGTATATTTGTAAATAGTTTTTAATATGCATAAATATTGATTATCTACTAGGTTCATAATTAAAAGTAATGCAATAGTAAGGAGGCAACCTCAGCCGAATTGGTCTAACAATTTGACTTGATAATTACAAGATTCTAACTTTGTCTCCTCAATGTGGATTTCGCCCGAAGTGCACCTTCTTGTTGCACTTGCAAGTTTCCCTCATCAGATGGATTAAAAATAAAAAAAAATAAAAAATAAAAATAAAAAATAAAAAAATAAAAAAATAAAAAACTTTGAGCGTTTATCTCACCCATGTCACTTCCTCATTGAGTCATGAAATTGACAAATTATAATATGGTTATAATATGGACCATGATCTAAATAATTACAATGTGAACCGTTGACAAATGCTCATTTTAATATATTAGAAATTCATTTTTAATATACTAAAAGTTTATATTTAAACTAAGTAATATACAAAAAATGAAAAATCTTTATTATACTAAAAATGAGCCTTATGCAATTGGTTCATTTTATAAGGTGAGCCATGGTACAAGGTATAATGAGTGGATGAAATTGGTAGATCATCAGTTCGACCCCAAAAATATTTCTAAAAACTTTGATTAATTACAAAATTTTGCTTTTGAAAAAAAAAAAAAAAATCTGAAAAGATTTTGTGTATCTTAACGTTGAAAAAAAAAATCTCAATAGAGCCAGGTCACGGAAATATATGGTATGGCCAGTGCAATATTGTTTCTTCTCTTATCTAATATAATTACGTTTGCAAGTAAATATTCCTTGACATATTTCGCCAACCACATTGACCTAATAAAGTTATCACTATTTATAATTGTCCACCTAGACACTGGTGGAAAAACTATAGAGAAAGATAAGTACATGGAACCCCGGCTCATTTTATTGGAGAAGTCTTGACCTAAGAGCGGTGTCTATTTTTATTGCCAAGAAAAGGAAGCATGGAGCAAAATAAATAAAAAAGGTGCTACAAGAAAGTTCGAACCCAAGACTTCTAGCATAACAACACAAGTAGCATTATACCAACTACTCAAGCCACTCAAGATTTCATTCTTCCAAGGCTGAACCCTAACCCTAAGGGCTCCCCACACCCCTCAAGCCACTCAAGATTTCATGTACAAGAAGGTGG